CTGACCCCCGGGGACTGACCACCACCCTGGTCCTCCGCGCACACTCACCTCCCGACCCCCGGGGACTGACCACCACCCTGGTCCTCTGCGCACATTCACCTCCTGACCCTCGGGACTGACCAGCACTCTGATCGGCCGCGCACATTCACCTCCTGACCCCCGGGGACTGACCACTACCCTGGTCCTCCGCGCACACTCACCTCCTGACCCTCGGGGACTGACCACCACCCTGATCGGCCGCACACACTGACCTCCCGACCCCCGGGGACTGACCAGCACCCTGGTCCTCCGCGCACACTCACCTCCTGACCCTCGGGGACTGACCAGCACTCTAATCGGCCGCGCACATTCACCTCCTGACCCCCGGAGACTAACCAGCACCCTGGTCCTCCGCACACACTCACCTCCTGACCCTCGGGGACTGACCAGCACCCTGATCGGCCGCACACACTCACCTCCCGACCCCCGGGGAGTGACCAGCACCCTGGTCCTCCGCGCACACTCACCTCCGGGCCCAGGGACGCGCGCAGGGCCGCTCCGGACACCGGGCCGCAGAAGCTGCAGGGGGAGGACTGGTGCGAAGGGGCGGCGGCGCTCGGAGAGGAAAGGCAGGCCCGGGGCTCAAACCGCCAACGATCGGACGGTGGGAATGGGCCCCTCGGACTCGGGAAGGGAGCCCGCGGTCACCTGCTGGACAATCCGGCGAAAGGTGAAGGAATTAAAGGGAATCTCGCTTCGCAACAGCGGCGATCGCAAACCCGGCGCTAAGGGCCGCCCAGCAGAGTCCCACTTCCGGTTTCTTTACCCGCAAGTGTCGCACGAAAATAGCTCCGGACGGAAACAAAGTCCACAGCCCGCAAGCTGAGCTTTGGTGTTTAGCCTCCTGTTTACAAATCTCTCTTGTTTATTTCCACCCAGCTTTTGCATCTAGTCAAAACAGAAACCTGCACTTGTGTTTTTGTAACATGTGCACGGACTGAAACGTGGATTTCAAGAACAAAACTGAACAGAGAAACACTTTTCTTTCTCCAGCATATAGAGGCCACTTTGCTTTTGCAGAAGGGAAATAATTATGAGCCTTGAGACTTAGTTACTTATAGACATAGTATAAAAGCCAATACAACTTAGTGGTTAATAAATTAATTTAGAGCAATAACTGCAATTTATCCACATATTGATTCAATTCATAGCAAGCCTTAAACAGTTAATTGCAATTAATTACATTGTCATAAATGAATCACAAAATATATTGATTCATTCTTAGTGACATTAAACAGTTAATGGCAACTTATCTACAGCACAATTCATACACTTCATCACAACATATTGCTTCAATAATTCATTATTGTTGTTGTTATGTGCCATCCAGTCGTTTGCGACTCATAGTGACCCTATGTACAAGAGCCCTAAACGCCTCTCTATCCTGTGCCAACCTCGCAGTCTCAAACACATTCATTCCCACCATAGAATCGATCTATCTCATCGAGGGTCTTCCTCTCCTGCACAGTCCCTCCACTCTCCCAAACATGATGTCCCTCTCCAAGGACCAGTCCCTCCTTACAACATGCCCAAAGTAAGTCAGACGAAGCTTCAGAACCCTTGACTCCAAGAAGCATTCAGGCTTCACCCTCTCCAGGACAAACCTGTTTGTTCTCCTAGCAGTCCATGGTATATGCAACACTCTTCTCCAGCACCACAACCCAAAGGAATCAAGT